TATACCTTTTTGTACTATATGCTGTCTGTTCCTTTCTGCTGTCTGGCATTTGACTTATCAACCATTCTCTTTATAATATCTTCATAATATTTCTTTTAATACCGAATTAGGTATTCTTAAGGTTAGATTATTTATTATTCCTGTTAAACAAGCATCAAAATCTAGCATAAATTGACCGTAGATGAAATTGGATTAGCCTGAGATATTATCTTCAGCTAAATGTTAAAAAGTATCAATCATAGAAATACCTATAGTGTCCACAAACATATAAATTAGGCTAAACGCCGGCACAAAGTTTGGATTTCGAATTCCCTTGATATATATACAAATACCCATAAATATATCGTACATTTACTACTTTCTCCAAAAATTTAATCACTTTCGTAGAAGCAGGAAGCTTAGGAATCGAATCCCCATAATAGTTATACTGGCAATATCAAAAATATTCAAATACCCATGAATATTTCTTAGTTTAACTTTCCACGAATACAATCGCTTGCTTGACTTGGTTTATGGATGAAACCCTCGTGATAGTAATTTATTATTAAGAATTAATAATAATGATCCTTATAAGTATTTCTTATTATCCTATCTTTCCACAAAAATATAGTCCCATGCCTATCGTAATAAGCTAAAAACCTGAATGTAATTTAGAGATCGACCCTCCGTGAAGGTAATGTATAGGTATATATACATAAATTCTTTATACGAGTTATGTTTAAATGCCTCAAATATTTATAATTAATTTGAATCACGCGACATTTGAATTTCTCACCGAGATTCTCGTCCTGGAAAGCGTATCTCAACATTTAGCTAGCCAGCTTTTGCGTAGCTCTAGTTAGAAACAACTTTAAGAAAGTATCAAATTTTGCATGCAGCAGCTAACAAATTAATTTTTCGTGCACAATGACAACAATGTCTCGAGTGTGCTATGGGGGGCCGTGGGAGGGGTTTGGCTTTCTAAAATAGGCGTGGCAAGAGCTGCTACACATAAGCACATATATCATAAGTGTGGGGGCGGGGGGGAGTTGCTCATGTTACGCGTCAGGCTGATTAGAATATAGCGGGACGTTTGCATTATTTATGCCAGCCAAATGAAGGTTTGCGGGTCAAAGGCTGGTCGCAGTAGATGTCTCGCTTGTTGTACCGTGAAACAGGAGCAGGAGCAGGACCAGGACCAGGAAAAAGGAGCAGCCACAACAGCAGCAACAGGAGCTCCATTGACAAAGTGTGGGCGCACGTGACGAGGCAGTGGCAATGACAGGTGGACGAGTAGCAGGTAACTCCTGGACGCCAGACCAGGCTGAATGTCAGGCCGCAACAATGAAAATAAAAGGAGGCAGGCACGTGACAGGACTCGCTCTGCGCTCATTATTGAATAACTTATTGAGCACCAGCAGCTGCGGCCATTTTAATTGCAGTGTACCTCAAGAGATGCTCAAAAGAAAGTCGCGAAATGAAATTAGTTGGGCCGAGGGACGAACAGTTCTGTAATCCTTTTTATGCCCAGCCAGGCACGTATGCAATAAGGACACAAACTGCACGCTACAATTATTTTCCATAATGAAACCTATTCTAATTGAATATCGTTGCAATCAGTCTGTGTGTGCTTTGGACAACTTTCGGTTATTCTTATTGTGTTTATATAATTTAGAGAAATTAATCAATGTGCTGTTCTCGGTAGTTGAGATGTCCGAATGAATAAGTAGTTCAGGGAACTAAAAAAACGAGAATCAGGATTCAAATCTTAGGCTAGTTTACGAAGGTTGTACCTCCACTCTTGGTAGAAGGACTCAGTATTATGTACTATTTAAAACTCTTCCTATATAATATACTGTCAAAAATAATAATTAAAATCAGCAATTAATCAATTTTATGAACCAGTTCACTGTGGTTCACGGGTACTACCAAGAAAGTAATTAAGATATTGAGCTGATTTTCGTTATAGGCCTACTCCCTGCTCAAATCAACTGAAAACTAGCTCTAAGTCAAGCAACTATGGATTTAAATACATTTCTGAGTCAACGAACTAGTTCACAAGTGGTTCACAGCTGTATAACTCGGGAAATACTTGAGCAATAGAGCTGAAACTTGGTGTGCAGACAGATTAGCTGAAACTTGTTCTCAGTCAAGCAATCGTTATCGTTCCTTATGGATTCAAATACATTTTTAAGTCAGCGAACTAGTTCACAAATGGTTCACAGCCCCATAACTCAAAAAGTACTTGAGCAATAGAGCTGAAATTTGGTATGCAGACAAAACTAACATGGGCTAAAGAGTATCTTTCAGTCGGTCAGCTATTTACATATATACATTTTTTCAAATGAGCCGATTCACAACTGGTTCACTTCGTTCATTTAAATAACGGCTCAGCTCATCTAAGCTCAAACAGTATCTCGTAGTGCAGCGACTATTTGAATACCTTACAGTTGGTCCTTGTCAAAAAATGTTGTGTTATGATATTCAAGGAGCATAAAGAAGCATTCATCTGCTGCCTGCCAATGGCACTTCAATAGGCAATTGAGCTGCCATTTAGACGCTTGTCAAATGCACAAAGAGCGAGCGTCTATATCAGCCAGCGCCCCTTTTACCGCTTAAGCCCTTTCATTTAGCTATCTGCAGCTTAATTAGCAGATGGGGTTGGGTTTAAAAAAGAATGCCGTAGCAAGCACTCAGGCGCCACAAGCAGCTGGCAGGTAGCTAATTTCCGGCGTTGTTGGCTCAACAGAAATGCGCAAGAAAATAAAAGACAGAATAAAAGAAGCACGCAAGTTAAGCAGCGTATTCAACGCTTCAGGCTACACTGTTGCCAAAGAATTTTTGCATACACAACTGGTAGCTGTCGTTCGTCCTGGCAAAGCATCCTTCTCCAGCTGCACTCGGGGCTGGCAAAGTGCCTGTCGCTTGGGCTAAGTGCGGCGAGGCATTTAAGCCAAAGGAGCTCAGAGTATGGGCGCATTTAGCAAAACGTTGACTTCAGCAACAAGTGGCTGGCTGCCCAGGGGGAGGGGGGGTGGAGAGCGGGGTGTTGGGTGACAAAGAAGGACATCTTGTGGGGACAGCCCTGACTGAGCACTGATTGAGTTAGTGTTCGGGTCGAGAGCCGAGAGTTGGCAGCACGCTAAATTAAACAGCAATTGCAAACTTTCGGCACAAACTTTCACATAATTTGTGACTCGCACACTCCAGCTGTGTGTGCGTGTGTGTGTGTGTGGCCAGGTAAAAACGGGACTAGACATTCACAATTTTGTTTAGCATATGTGCTAAAATCGTATTATAAAAACGATTTCCTGCACAAAAGACTTCATTTTGACCTTGTTAGGCAAATCAAAATAAATATTATTATGTCAAGGAATAAATGAAAAATACCTTAAAGATTTCAAATTTACCGCTTATGTTTTAATCTTAAATTCGCAATGGGCAGCCGATATTCAAAAGTTTTATTTAATATTTGGACATTTAATATACAAAAGCCCACATACTAAATTTAAGGCCTGGAGCTTCTATTATCTCTGAGTTTGAACAGTTCGTAATGATAGATAGTTTAATAAGTTTCGCAAGATTCATGTTCGTTGAGGGCCTCTTCATTATATAACTTTATATATATAGAGTTACGAAAAAGAAAATAAATTTCGAACTTCCCAAAATAGTCAGACCGCTTAATAAATTAAGCATTCATTCGAAGAGTCAGCTATGATGTCACATATTTCTATTTGTTAATCATTTTAACGCTCTGTCACAACAAATTATTTATTTATTTTATTATTCTACATATCAAACGCACCCAAAATGTTGAGCTGAACTTTCGCTTATCTCCGCCTCATATATGTACAAACATGCCACATATTGTTTTTTACCAGATTTTGTTATTTTATTGTTTCTGCTAGTTTATTCATATTAACGCGATAAGAATGAAATTGATAATGAAGCGATTGCAACGGCAACCAAATTGATTATATTCTTAATATAGAAAAATCATTCAAAGGGGTTGGGAGAAGAGGAAACGGGATATGCCCACAAGTAGGTTGAAGCGACCAAAATACTTTTTAAAGAGTTGGGCTTTAATTGGCTTTGCCTGCGGCAACAAATTGAGCTCTTAAATTAGGTAAGCTTTGAGAGTCAATTCATGGCAATAAAGTATAACAAATTCGTGTTAAACAAGAAATCAGGCAAAAGTTCATATAAAATTTAATTTGTGTTAAGGCGAATAGAAAGATCATATAATAAGAATTTCTGTGCCAATTCTTTGACAAAGTGAAACCACAATTAAATAACTTTTCTAGCTTTTAAAACAGAAAGGGACCATACAAATATGCTGCATTAAAACGTTTAAGGATGAGGCGCAAAGAAGAATTGAAAAAGCAGCAGTCTCTACAGAGTGTAAGAATGTTTAACTAATTTCTTTTTTTTTTTGTAAATAGAAGAAACAAGCAACATGAACTATTTGATTACATAACCTTTAAGGATGCCCACACAAAAGGAATGTAAAAAGCAAAAGGAATGTAACAGTCTCTTTAGAGAGCAGACGCATTAGAGTTAACAACTGTTCCTCCGAATATTTCAACATGTGTCTATCAAGCACATAATGTGTACTTATTATGAATTCCCGTCTTTATGGGCGCCACAGAAGCAGCTGTGCAACAACTGCAGCGGCATCAAATGAGGTGGACGTGGCGCTGCAGCAGCAGCAGCAGCAGCAGCAGCAACAACAAACAAAGCCACATGCAACAGAGGTCAAAAAAGAAGCGCATTCAAAATGCTGGCCAACAATTGAGATCGCTTATCAGTTGGCGTCTAATTTACGACAATGAGCCGCCATCGAGGCCTATGCGGCACATGCTTAATCCCCACTGTGCGTGTGTGTGTATGTGTGTGCGCTACATATTTATGTGCTTGTGTTTACGTGCATGCAAATATGAGTTTACAGTTTTAACAGTGTTGTTTAACAACTGGGCTTTAAGGCCTGAACTCGTGGCATTCAAAAGTGTTGTGAAACTCACCTCGAATCAAACTTCTTGCCATCGGCCTGCAGGGTGCCAGTGTAGTGCATGGTGAGCGAATCGCCGCTCTTTGTTTTCTGATCACAAATCTCTGGTTTGCTGATCACATCCACTTTCAGTTCGCTGCAGTGAACGCCGCTGAAGGCCAACAGGAGGCAGGAGAAAACAATTGACTTCAACATGGCTGCAAGTGAGAAAAGAAATACAATTAATATAGCAAAAGTGAACTTTGAAAGCCCATTAAAGCTTCAAGTGCATTTAATCAAATATGTAGAGTACAACAAAGAAAGCTTTTCCTCAGAAATTAAAAGTGTTTCTAAGGAGCTTTGAAAGCTGATTAAAGCTTCAAGTGCATTTAATCAAATATGTAGAATATAACAAAGTTTTTTCTCAGAAATTATAAGTTTTTCTAGCAGAGCTTGGAAAGCCCATTAAAGCTTCAAGTGCGTTTCTTAGAGTATATACAATATAACAAAGAATGATTTTTCTCTGCAATTTTATAATCGGGATGAAAGTATGTATAAAGCTCATTAAAGCTGTTCATGAGATTAATTAAATTCCAAAATATTATGAGAGCGAAACTTTTGACTAAGAAACAAACACAAGATTAGAAAATCTATATCTTTAGGCTCTTAGCCTTTATTGACAACTGAAAGCTGCTTCCCTCCGCATGCTTTACAATTGGCTGATCTTCTATATGAACTATTTCAAGCTCCGAGAAAAATTGGTTACGCAAATTATCAAATATTACACAATGCAATCAAGAGCTGAACTGAACTGTGTGCCAATTAAAGAAGAGGTGCACAGAGTGTAAAGTTAAAATAATTAAAAAACAAATGACTAAAGAGTGAAAAAATTGTACATTATGCAAATCTTCAATTCATTTACGAAGCGCAGTTCGTTTCAGGTTTTATCCAATTGCAGAGGATTACGCAATGTTAAAATTGCAAATTATTGCCGAGTACGTGTGTGTGTTGGTGTGTGTTAACGGTGCGTATGCGTAATGTCCGCAAAAGGTGACGATGACCATTATGTGGCTTGGGATGGGAAGCACCATTCGGATTTCGAAAACTCGTCATGTTAAATAGTTCGTTTTTGTTTGTTTTTTGTTGTTGTTTTGTTGGTTTTTTTGTTGTGTAGGTGTTTCGAAATTGCAAATGAAAGTTGGGAATTGGACAAGTTGGGCATTTTCAATGGGCCATTCGTAAGATTTATGCGCTTTGGAAGAAAGCGTTTTCAAGAAAATGATTTGCAATAAATAAGCTCTATGAATGACAACAACAACAACAACAACAACTCGACATACAAAACTTTCACTAATGAAAGACCGCACATTGGGCCGAGATGGCAACCTACAATTGGTAACGGTACAATTACGTGAAAACAACATTAACATCTTGACTCTCTTTTAGATCACTTCTGCGTTTACTCTTTGCTTGAAAACTTCTCTTTAGATGCTCTCAGAGCAAGGTTATATAAATATGTGGTGCAGCATGCACTTTGATCTTTAATATATTGACAGACTGAAACGACATTTTAGTTAAATTCTTCTTACATTCCAATTTTCTTATAGGCATATGGCCTTTCTTTTATAGCAAGTTTTTTAAAGAAAGACCATTTAGCTCCATCCAAAACATATAAAACAAAAATCTTTTGTAAAAATATTTACACAAAAGTTATGTAAAGCATGTTCCTCACTTATACTACAAGATGGTATATTTTATCTTTTCATTTGTGGCGATTGCTTGAAACCTGATAAGGAAGCGTATTTTCACGACAAATATTTAAAAATAGCTATAAGACTGGGTCAGAAGAAAGAAAATAGAAACGAAATTTACATTTTTCACTAAAGTTCTTAAAGTTCTAAATTATAGCTATTTGTTTAGTCTACAAATATTTGAATTTCGAATACCATAAAGTCGTTACAAAAAGAATACACATCCAAAACAAATAAAACTTGAATATTTTATCCAAGTCTAGAGCGTATTGAATCTTCGGCTTAGGGAAGTTGTCTCTGCTTTCGTGTTTCGTTGTTGCTTCTTTTTTTTTTTTTTGGGCGTCCACAGTAAAACCAGTTGCGTGTTGCCACCTTGTCTTTGTTGCTTTGCTCTTGTCTTTTACTTTATGTTTTTTTTTTTGGTTTGTTTGATTTGAGAGCTCATTTTAAAGCCTGGTTCGTTGAACTGTCGCCTGAACCGTTAGGTAGCCCACCTGGGCCAATGCAATGACTTGACTAAATAATTTGCAACTGAACGTTAATGAGATGAAAACTTTACAGGCAAGAGCAAGGGGCACACGTCAAGAGTTTTTCCATAAGACGATAAAAAAAAAGATAGCAACTAAGTAAAACAACAAACAAATTGTGATTAGCTGCACACGACAACAGCGCAACAACAACAACAACAGTCGCAGTCGCAGCGACAACAGTTTTTAGGCCGGCCGGGAGATAAGCGCTAGTGAGTTTAGTTTTATGCTCAGTTTCGTTAAGTTTTCTTCGGCTGAACCGTCTTCGTGGCCCCCGCCGCCCTATGTGCGATCGCTCTCTTTGCTTTCCGCTGTGCCGCGACATTCGCTGATGTGTAAAACACGATGTGAATATGAATGAAAAAGACACGCCAGCTAGCCAAAGTACACGCTTTCATTTTGTATCATTTGCGTTTTGTTTCTCATCGTTGCTTACTTCCAATTAACTGCATTTTTTGATGCACACACACACACACATACAAACACACACTGTCTATTAGATAGTTAAGTTTGTTTATACCTTTTGTTTTGCTTATTTACTTGGGTATTCCGCTCAATTAGTCCCGGATATAAACACGGCGAGCAAAGAGCAATCGGCGCAAAAGCAACGGACACAACTGCTACGATCGATGGGCACAAGACAACTGATGGAATTTTGACGACGGCGTTGGCGTTTACTATGCAGCGTGGAGCGTATTGTCGGCCGCAGTCGACGTCAACACCAATACAGCTGCACCAAAAACCGAATGATCGAGAGAGCGAGACGGAGCAACAGACAGCGAGAGCGCGCCGCAGCAAACACTTGTCCACGTAATCAAAGCAACTCGCGCAGCACTCGAGCGGTTCACGGTAAGCGACAAAATATAGGCGTTTTTAATTGTGGGGCCGAACTTGGAGTGAATTTATACAACTGTGACAGGAAACTGTTATTTTCTATAAAAGTGTTGTGAATGTAAAAAAGCGACAGAATGTTAGAAAGTAAAGCATTAAAAGGATATTAGGAAAATATTCAGATGTTGCTTGAGTTATATAAAAGTTTGACTTTTAACACATTCTGAAGTGTATATTGGAGAGAGAGAGAGAGAGAGAGAGTGAGAGAGAGCGAGAGAGAAAGCTCAAAACAACAAAATTCTACTCATTCATTTAAAAAAATATAACGCATTATCTGATTTGGTTTGTCAATAAAAATCTTTAAACTTACATTTATATTTCTTCTTACAAACGAATATGAAATATTTGTATAAAAGTATTTTTAGTTTCCAAAAAACCAGAAACAAAAATGAAATTAGGATAGAGATCAGAAGCACAACCTGCTCGCGCGTAGCTACAATGTTAACTGTTAGCTGGGCAGTTCGCTTGCCACAAGGATGCTGCAAGCATGTTGCATGCAACATGTTGCTGGCAACCAACATAAATGTTGCTAAGCTTTTCACAAAACCACGCCCTTTAGACGCATGCGCTAGAGCCAACTGGGCGGAGCTTAAATCAATTAATTTTCATGTTTTCCAGTTAAACATAAAACACGTGTTAATAATTAAATTATAATTGATAATTATTAGCTTAAGTAACCAAATATCTATATATATATATATATATAAACAGTTAGTTCCGCATTAGATAAAATATATATTATATCGATGCGAACGTGGGTGCGCCCCACGAATTCCGACAAAAAAAAAGCCCATTACTCTAGGGGTCATTTTACGCCCCAATGAATGCGATTGTTCAGAGCAAATCAATTAGAATTTCGCGAACTCAATTTAATTAGCTGCCAGTTGAAAATTAAATCGCAGCGCGTCGGTTGTTTTTCCCTTTACGCATCAGCCAGAAAACTCTAAAATCCAATCAAAATATGCTGCAGGAGCTACAGAATCCACCAGAGGCATTTGCTCTGAAGCGTCGAGATCACAAATTTGTGGTCGAGCGCATCGAGGGTATTATTAATCCTGCCTATGAGCCCGATTTGGGTGGGGATGCCAAACCGGAGAGCCGAGCGACCAATCAACGCAATGTCCAATCAAAATGGCGAGTATATATCAATATAATAACAATTGCACCTTTGGAAGCCTTAGAAATAAGGCAAAATATATTTACAAGAGAAACAAAAATTATGATTTAATTTAAAAAAAAAAATTTTTTAACATAAGTACATCAAAAATTTTACTACAAATATATTTTATATAAAAATAATTCATGATGAGCTTCATCGTGTAAACTTGCATGCGGCGGTGCTTTCAGAGACATTATAACGTAGTTTACAGTCTATATTTCTTATTATTAATTACCAAAAAAAAAAAACTTAATTGAGGATATTATAAAAAAAATACATAAAGAAAGTCGTGTGGTAAATACATGATATCCATGTACGTGTAAACATACATAAGAGAGTTACATCATCGTGTAAACTTGCTAGATAATCAATAGAACACGATGTAGTCTTTATTTCATATTATTTATTTTACAGCCTTATAAAGGAATCATATTTAAAAAAAAATGCATCCATGCACGTGTAAACATTTGTACAAGCTACATCATCGTGTTAACCTGCAAGAGGAACAATATAACTCATCGAACAGTTCTTAGTTCACATAATACATTAAGAAACTCGTGATAAACTAAATACATGATATTCCTGCACGTATAAACATGCATACTAGAGTGACATCATCGCGTATACTTGTAATATAAGCAATGGAACGCGATTTAGTAGACTTCATATCTGTAAAAGCACTATTACTTATCATATTTTTAAAAAATCATTAATAGACTAGATACATGATATCCATGCATGCGTAAACATACGTACATGTGTCTCAACATCGTGTAAACCTGTTAGATGGTCAAAAGAACTCAGTTTATAGTCATTATTTCATTTGATTATTAAAAAATGTCTTGTTACAGATCATAAAATCACAAAATCCATTAAGACTAAATACATGATATCCCTGAGCGTGTAAACATATATACAAAAGTTACATCATCATGTAAACCTGAAAGAATAACAATATAACTCAGTTAACAGTCCTTATCATATTTATTTAAAAAAGCCTAAGTACTGACTATTTAAAAAGAAATGCATTAAGACTAAATACATGATATCCCTGATAAATATCATGATATCCATGTACGTGAAATATAGTTTCAACATCCTCAGTTTACAGTCCTTATATCATATTTATTAAAAAAAAAAGCTTATTTCTTATTATATTTAAAATAAATGCATTAAGACCAAATACATGATATCGCTGCACGTGTAAACATACATACAAAATTTACAAAACTATGTAGAAATTTCCTTAATTTTATATAAATTATATTGTTATTTCATTTCAAGCGCAAAGTTTAGCTATTTTTCTGCAACTCTTTTTGCTTGATCTGAAGTTCGAGCTCCAAAATTTGATGCTGAATCTCAAGATTCTTGAGCTCGGCCAAATGCTTCTGCTGCGCTCGGATATCCATATTGCGATAATAATTGAATTGTGCGGCCAAAGATCTCTGACTCAGGCTGAGTTCCTTGAGCTGCTTTAAATTACATTCATAATTAAACTATTTTATGGAGTTAGCTTATTTTTACCATCTCGGCGTTGTCCTCCTCGCTGGAATGCAGGGCTGGTTTTTCGGTATCCGGACTCGGCGCATTGCTCTTGGTCGCAGCTAATTGTGCCTGTGGGATAGATATTATGCCCAACCCGACTTGTGGATGCCCTTTGATAAGCAACACACCTGATTTAAGTTCTTGTATTGCCGCAGAAATTCGCGCATTTGTTTGACATCAATATTTGCGGATATATTGGAATCTGATCTGCGGCTACGTACTGAAATCTTGGAGAAATCTGGCCTGAGCTCAGATAAAACAGTTTCGATTCCATCCATGGGTTTATCTTCGGACATGATCTGATCTGCATCGGGAGTAGCCTGCTCCGCATCGGACATCGTCTGATCTGCTTCGCTGGGGCCTGGCTCAGCTGCGATCGGGCCTGGGTCCACCTCGGACATTACGTGGTCCGCTTGAGTTTCCGCTTTGAGTTGTTCTACGACCACAACTTGTTCAGCCTGATCCACATTCTTCTTGGACTCGTCAAGCGTATTTCTCCTCTCGTTGGGTGAGGCATCTTCCTGTGTTGGCTCTCTTTTTACCAACACATTCAACAGCTTGTTTTGTTTTTTCATTGTCTCGTATTTGGATTTCAGTTTCACAGCCGAACGTTGGATTTGCGTATTGCTGGGATTTTAGGTTCGTATAGAATCGCATTGATCTGCTGCAAAAAGAAACCCAAACCCGATTTGTTGTCACGCTCACTTGTAAAACTCAGCAGCGATGCTCTCCCAGGCCCGATTTTTCGCACGCCAGACATGCGCATTTGAGGCCTTGTCCTCGATCTCTTTATGGTATTTGGCTGTCAACATTCTCAGAATATTCTCCTCCGCGATGGTAAAGTTCGGCATGCGCGAACGTTGACGGCGCGAACTCGAATTCATGATCAGCTTTCTGAACAGATCTGTAAAATATGTACATTGTACTATTTGGCATTAGGTGCTGGTTGTTGTTTTTGTGTGTATTGTGTGCTGTGGTGTATTATAGAAGATCCTTGATCCTTAGAAGCCCATCACGTGCTTGGTCTTGCGCCGTTTGGCAGGCGTCGGGTTAATGTTCAGCGAGCTTTCGATGATCGTGAATTCGCCCGCTGCCAATGTGGAGGGCGGCATGAGGCTTTCATCGAATGTGTCCTTTTCGATTTTGGTGCTCGTTAGGATGTCGAGCTCAACTGTTTCCGGTATCAGTTCCTTGTAGTCGGCATAGGATGCCTCGAAGCGCTTGGGTAGCTTGGTGCCCGGCACCAGTTTCTCGTCGTCATCCGTCGGATCAGCCGTTAACTGGGCGGGCTGCAGCATCTGCTGCAACCAGGCAGCTGTGCGCTCTTCGGTCGCATCCTCTTTCTTGTCCACCTTCAGCTTGTCGTCGATCATATCGATGTGCACATCCCGAGTGAGTTCGAACTCATCAATGTCCCAGATGCTGAGCAGGCGCGTGCTAATGACATCTGTGAAGCGGCTCAGATTGTAGGCCGACTTTTGCCAGGGTCCACGATTGACGGCCTTCTTCTTGGCCTTCACCTCCGGGGCTGGCTTGGTATCTTCAGGCGGCGTCTCTTCCTGGGCGGCCACTTGACTAGTCGTGGGCTGTTGCTCCTCGCCCTCGGCTTCACTTTCCGCCGACGATTCCGACTCGGAATCTGTGAAACCATAATCGATATTCACGTCCTCAATGACCAGCGGTTTTTCCTGCTCCACATCACGTTCTGCTTCGGATTTAATAATCTCGCGCAGCACGCTCATCGGCTGCACGGTCGTGCAACCGAGCTTTTTGGTCACATGATGACGCACCAGCTGGGAATAATAGAGTATTGCCTCGTTGGTGTGCCCGCCCGTTCGCTGTTCCCGCTGCATTTCGAGCTCATCGCGCAGCGTCACCCGCTGGCAGTAAATGTCGCCCACGCTGTTGGCGGTGAGCAGCTGGGCGAAGGCGCCATCGATGGCATTCTCCAGTCTGTGGAATTTGATGCCCGTGGTGCAGCATTTAATGCGCTCCGCGAGATCCGCATAGATGTCCACGTGTGAGCCCTGCAGCCGTGCATTCAACAGCGCCTCCTCCAGCTGCGGCGGCTCATAGGGCAGCGAGGGGGAGCTCATCTCGGTACAGCTCTGGGCGAGGACTCCTTTCAATTCGCAAACACGCTGATCACTGGTCAAGGCGCTGCTCATCGCCACAAATTCGCTGCCATTGTGCGCAATGGCATCCATAAAGGTGGGCGAGTAGCTCATCTGATGCGTCCACGTGACCACGGAGCGATCCGATACCTTTCTGCCCAGACAACGCATGTCCAGGCAGTGCAGCTTATGATTGCTGGCCACATACACCAGATTAGGATTCAGGCTGCGCCCCAAGCACGAGAAGCTCTCGCAGTGCTGCGAGTACGCGCTGCTGGCGAAGCACGGACTAATCGCTTCGTTGGCGCAGCGCAGGTCGATGGTGAGCAGGGCGGACTGGCAGGCATAGTGGAAGCAGTGCTCCTGGCTGGCACGCATCTGTGCCCAGGTGCTGGATTTGCGTATGCCTTTCAGTATGCACACCTCATGCTTCGATATGTCCTGCTGCGTGACAATATCCTTGAAGCGCACACTGTGATCCTGGCAAGCAATGGCCAGCGTATTTGGCTTGTTTATGGCCTGCGCCACGCTAATGAACGGTCCGTCCTGGCTGCTGTATTTACTCTGGCAGCACAGCTCATACTTGGTCGTCTCCTCCTCCTCCTCCTCCGCCTCCTCCTCCTTGTCCACCTGCTTTAGCTCGTAGATGACAATGTCGTTGAGCATGCGCGCCAGCAGCATATTGCCATGATTAACGCGAAAGCTGCTTATGGGCATCAGCTCAAAGATCTCACTGGACATGCCCGCCAGCGATTCGCTGTGCAGCGGACGCCACAGCTCCGCCTCGACGCCCACTTGGGACAGATTCAAATGCTGCAGCCGCTCGCCGGACACGTGCATGGCCAGCGTCTTGGCCTCAACGCCAGCAGCCGAGTACGACAACAGATTCAGATTGCCGCCCGTATAATAGTAGTCATAGCTGTCGCGAAAGTACGTATTATCCTGCGTAGCGATCTGCTCCGCCATATCGTACAAATGGATGTTATATATCTGATTCGCGTGCTTCTTTTCCCGCTGCTTTTGCTTGCTCGTCTGGCTCAGATACTTGGCCTTGTAGACGTGCACATTGCGCATCCACTCGACGTGCGCGATCGAACGTTGGAAGCACGGCTCCACAATGGGCGTCGACTGGCTGGAGACATACACGGGCAGCGCCACGGTGAACGCACAGCTGGGAAAAACGCTCAGAGGCCGATCGGGCACAGCGTTCTGTCCCAGTCCCGTATTCAGCTCGGGGTGTGTGTAATGCGATGTATTCTCCAGCACATGGCGCAGTGGTACGCCCTGGCGTTGATCGTCCAGCGAACCATCTGCATATCCTGCCTCCTCCTCGTCCTCCGAATCGCTCGCTGAGGTTGCCGCCTCGCTGCGCTGTTGGGACTTTTGCGATTCGATTGTTCGGTTTAGCTTCGACAGCTGTAACTGTGTTGTATTTCTACGGGGCATGCTGTTGGAGCTGATTAACTCTATCTACAAGTTTGTAAAGTTTTTAATTTATGTTTTGTGGTTTTTGGTGTTCTTGTTGCGGCATTTGCGCAACGGCGGCAAACCTGTCTTTTAGATTTCAATTACGCCTGATTTATCCTTATTTCTTTACAATTTATCCGCTTGACTGCTAATGCTCCAGATTTTTTCTGAACTCTAGCTTTATTCCTAGTTAGTTAAGGCAACGTTTTCACATAGAATTCCAAAATCTAACTGGCAGTTTGTTAAAACGAACGACAGCGGCAAGCATGTTTCCCTTAGCAGTTTTAGAGATGGGTACTTTGATCGAGATTTTCGTGCAGGGCAACGTGATACTTTTGCATTATGAACCAAATTCTGTGCTTTGGTACACTGGTTCTTTTTCTTACAACCGGTAGCGTCTGTCTATATTGCAATGAACCTACTCCATTTTTATTATTTTTTCATTAAAATTAAAGCACGCCCATAAACTTACATTTAGCAGCAACACATAATAAAATTAATAAAAATTACACATAATGTTGTCTGCAGCCATTTCGATACTTCATCGTATGAATTGCTCTTTGTGTACACCAGCCCTGCCGTTATCGACCAGCCACCACAATTCGATAACATTTGCCAGACAAAAATCTGGACATTTCTCTGCATTCACTGTCTGGTCACACTGGCGCGAGTACCATAATCGAGTTGAGTTGTCCGCAGTTTAGTCAAACAAAAATTTTAATTTAAATTTATTCTTATTGTGACAAACAACAACGAATTAGTGTTCAGCAATCAGCTAAATAAATCCAATGCAGCATAGTGACAGTGTCTGTGTGTGGGCGTGCGCGAAACAGCATCGAATTACACAAGTGTAAACGCGAAACATTCTGAAGAACCAAACAAATATTGATTTTTTCATAGAAAAGGGCCCCGCGAGTGTTCTTCTTATTATTGTTGCTGTTGTTGTGCGTGCCAGTTAACTACATACGCATACACCGAGTAGCCAGTTTTAGTAAAGCAAAAGAAAACGAAAAAGAATAAGCAAAAAAACTGCCAAGAAAAATTCAAAGCAACGACAACAAACGCGCACATCAGTAAATTTCCACAAATTTGTAATTAAACTGCTGCCCAGATCCCGTCTACCCCGCCGAACCACTTGATTTGTGTTACTGTTGTTATTTGCTGGAAGTTCTTCAAAGAGAAACACAAGCAGAACGAGCGTCAGGTGAGTCTTGGTGTCCAGCACACATACACACACACAAACACGTTTACGAACGCACACCGACACAACATGCTAATAACAGGCAAAGTGATAATATCAAAAAAAGCAACAGCAACAACAACAACACGGCGCAATACTGCGCCAGGCAGAGACAAATCACACGACCCACAAAAACACAGACACACGCACACATGCACTCTCATACAACGGCCAGGCGCGTGAAGACCCCCCAACCTGCCACTGCCTCCGCCTGTTAATCTCGCTCTGCAGCTGCTGCTGGTGTTGTTGTTGTTGCTATCATCACTTTTGCTCCTTATACACAAACTACTTCTACTATTACTATGCCCCCTTTGTCAGTTTCTCTTCGCCCATTCTACTCACAAAGCGCTGCATCATTTTGCATCAATTTTATCATTTGCATTCATCTTTTTTTGTTGTTGTTGTTATTTCTTAATTAGCACACTCAGCTCTCTCACAGCTGAACTTTGAGCTTTTAGCGGTAGTTAACATTTGCCTGTTAGACGTTACATTGCATGTTAATGTTGCTGTGCATGTTGTTCTTCTTCTTGTTGTTGTTGTTGTTGCTTTGCCACATTTATCTACTAATGCATCTTATATTTTTTCTTCTCTTATGTTTTTGATTTGCTTTATGCTGTTAATTTTGACAAGCCCCAAATGACTCTGACGTAACGCAGACCCAGAAAGTTTCACTCGATGTTTTCGCCTTGCTCTCCTTGCTGTTGTTTGTTTGGGTTTTATTGCTCCTGAGGCTCCGTTGGGCGCTGTTAACACTGCGGCGCCAGCGTCGCCGCCGTCGTCTACAAATAACCGTTGCTTTTATTTGACATTGTTGTTTAACTTGCCTGCATATTTAATATGGCGCGTAGGTCAGTTAACCTAACTTTACGAGTCCATCAAAAATTGCCAAATTGCTTTTCGCTCTCCCCTTCTCTCTCTCGCTCTCTCTCACTCTCTACTACACACTCCTGCTGCTGCCTAGCTGTGTTTTTATGTAACTCTCAAATCGATTGCAAACACGTAACAGTAAAGCAACCTGCACGTCGCTCCCGCCCCCGCACACACACATCCGTGCCAACTACTACACGGCCAGGAACTACGTTGTTGACGTTCTCGTCCTGCTTCACATATATGTACGTGTGTATGTGTGAGTGTGTGTGTGAGTGTGACGTTCGCAGCGCACTGTAAGCCCCGCGGCTTTTGCCATATAGCGTGACATTTCCTTTATGGGATTTTGTGCCCCCTCCCCCCTCTCAGTTGCCACCGAACACACTTATTTGAATATAATTTGCACTTGTGCGCTGCAATTTGTTTCAACACAGGACACGTCACACAAAATATCCTTGAATTTATTGATATAATTTATTTATGTTTATACAAATATCTGTTGGCCGCCTGCAATTGCAGTTGCCACAGGCCAACAATATCCGTTTGGCCCGTTCGGTCAGGCTGGAGGCAACTCCAATCGGTTTGTTGTTGCCGCGTGTTGCAAGTGCGATTGCTGTTGACCTGCCAACGGTTGCCATGGCGACCTGCCAAATTGTCGATATCTGCGCAAATACACGGCGCGAAATAACCAACTAACTTAAGCGAAAAGAGCCCAAGGCAAGCTCTGTTGACGAATCGTTGTTAACTGAAAGGAAAATCTTTTTTCTTGACATAACTTTTGCATTTCATTTACAGGCAAAACAGGCAATTTGACAGCTGCATTCTTTGTGAGCCGAATATAATCCCACATTGAAACATTAGTTCAGAGAAAATCTTTATTGTTATTGCACACTAACAGGCAGCAATTGCAACAGTGTTGGCCAACGCGTACACACTTAACTGGCAGTTAGTGCAACTGTCAAGAAAAACTAAGAGTTTGAAAGGCAATTTAACGGGTTGTTAATTTGATGTAAAGTTTGGCTTACGGCCGTCGGGTCAAATATTCAGATATCATTCAGAGTTATTGCACACTAAAACCCATTAAACCAGTGTTGGACAACGCGTAATGTGTACACATTTAACAGGCAGTTAACCGGCACTTTAACGCATTGTTTAATTGATGTAAAGTTTAGCTTACGCCCATCGGGCAATTCATTGTGAAACTTCTCATCTTTTTCGCTCAGTGCACATTTTCACCTTCTTGTCTTTGCCTAGCTCCCTCCCACTCTTGTAGCTGCCGCCCATTTAGCCAATTGGTAATTTTTCACAACGTTCGCTGATGCAATTGTAATTATGAATAATTTGCCATAAATGGCGCACACTCTCGACCTCCTCTTGTGGCAATTATCGGAATTGCCATTGTGTAGAACCCGCAGGCTTGGCCCGATTGCCCAGTTATACAAGGCCAATATAAAGTCTATATAGTATGTAATATGCAAATGTTACTTACTGCCTTGACTGAGGGTGCGGGGTGCTTCTTTATAGCTACGTTCCGTTGCCCATAAAATCATTCCAAGTGGATTTGCAGCCATAATTCAGGCCGAAAGGTCAAAGGTTGCTGTGAATAACGTTTTATATAGGCTCAATTTTAGATTTACAATCTGCATTTTACTGCAAAAGTAATTTAAACAAACTCATAATAAATCAACGAAAGTAACTAACGCTTACTTGTCGCTTGGTTTATATATAAATATATACATGTATATTTATTTTTAATTACTTCTCTGACAATCAGTTTATTCGCCCCACTTTGTAATTGATAAGCAACATTAATGAATTCAGCTGAGATTAGAGCTGTTAAACTGACTTGCACTTAGAAACTATTAAATGAAAACTAACTGTTTGCTCTAATTCGCATACCCTGTATGGAATGGGCATATACATTGATCTAAAAACTGTGGGATCTGAGAGATTACTAGAGCTAAAGCCAGCAAATTTGGTATAGTTCCAATAAACACAGACTTGAATTTTGTATATAAAATGCAGAATATGGTTATTTAATACATTGTCTAGGGGCCTTAAATACGCTATAAGCTTGTTCTATTGATATTATGTTCAGCTGTTCGACAGTCGGCCTATATGTTTATATAAACGAGAAAGAAGTGCTATCTTCGGCACACCGAAGATTTAATACCCTTGCAGACCCAACCTTTTCAAAATGCTTATAGTGCTTTGCCCGTATCTAAGAAGCACAGGGAAAATAGTTAATGCCGAGTATGGTTAAGATATCTTGAAAAACAAAACAGGTTTCCATACAACAACTTAATTTTCGACCGATCGTTCCTATGGCAGCTATATGATATAGTTGCCCGATGTGAATAAGATTTTGCATAAGTGGAGGGAGCATAGTAAAACTAATAAATGCCGAGTTTGGTCAAGATATCTTGAAAAACAAAAAAATTCCATACAACAGCATAATTTTCGACTGATCGTTCCTATGGCAGCTATATGATATAGTGGTCCGATCTTAATAGGATTTTGCATATATATGGGGAGCCTAGTAAAACTAATAAATACCGAGTTTGGTCAAGATATCTTGAAAAACATAAAAATTTTCCATACAAAAACTTAATTTTCGACCGATCGTTCCTATGGCAGCTATATGATATAGTTGTCCGATCTTAATAGGATTTTGCATATATATGGGGAACGTAGTAAAACTAATAAATACCAAGTTTAGTAAAGATAACATGAACGAGAAAGAAGTGCTATCTTCGGCACACCGAAGATTTAATACCCTTGCAGACCCAACCTTTTCAAAATGCTTATAGTGCTTTGCCCGTATCTAAGAAGCACAGGGAAAATAGTTAATGCCGAGTATGGTTAAGATATCTTGAAAAACAAAACAGGTTTCCATACAACAACTTAATTTTCGACCGATCGTTCCTATGGCAGCTATATGATATAGTTGCCCGATGTGAATAAGATTTTGCATAAGTGGAGGGAGCATAGTAAAACTAATAAATGCCGAGTTTGGTCAAGATATCTTGAAAAACAAAAAAATTCCATACAACAGCATAATTTTCGACTGATCGTTCCTATGGCAGCTATATGATATAGTGGTCCGATCTTAATAGGATTTTGCATATATATGGGGAGCCTAGTAAAACTAATAAATACCGAGTTTGGTCAAGATATCTTGAAAAACATAAAAATTTTCCATACAAAAACTTAATTTTCGACCGATCGTTCCTATGGCAGCTATATGATATAGTTGTCCGATCTTAATAGGATTTTGCATATATATGGGGAACGTAGTAAAACTAATAAATACCAAGTTTAGTAAAGATAACATGAAAAACAAAAATGTTTTTCATACAAGAACCTACTTTTCGACCGATCGTTCCTATGGCAGCTATATGATATAGTGGTCCGATCCAGCTGGTTTTGACATATGAGCTGCGTGCAACAGAAAGAGGGACTTCTGCAAAGTTTCATAAAGATAGCTTTAAAACTGAGAGACTAGTTCGCATAGAAACAGACAGACGGACAGACGGACAGACGGACAGACGGACAGACGGACAGACGGACATGGCTATATCAACTCGGCTGTTGATACTGATCAAGAATATATATACTTTATGGGGTCGGAGATGTCTCCTTCTATGCGTTACACATTTCACGACAAAATTATAATACCCTCTGCAAGGGTATAAAAACAAAAATGTTTTTCATACAAGAACCTACTTTTCGACCGATCGTTCCTATGGCAGCTATATGATATAGTGGTCCGATCCAGCTGGTTTTGACATATGAGCTGCGTGCAACAGAAAGAGGGACTTCTGCAAAGTTTCATAAAGATAGCTTTAAAACTGAGAGACTAGTTCGCATAGAAACAGACAGACGGACAGACGGACAGACGGACAGACGGACAGACGGACAGACGGACATGGCTATATCAACTCGGCTGTTGATACTGATCAAGAATATATATACTTTATGGGGTCGGAGATGTCTCCTTCTATGCGTTACACATTTCACGACAAAATTATAATACCCTCTGCAAGGGTATAAAAAGCCAAGCGAGCCAAAAACAGGGTATCTGTCAGTACAGCAATAAAGCTGTTTTGATATTGATGCACATGCTTCTCAAGTTAGAGCCTAGAGCCAGATAATTTGGTATACAATTTTCAGAGTCATCGATTTTGCACATAGAAAAAGACTTAGTTACAGGGTATCTGTTAGTATAGCACTTAAACTGTTTTGATATATATATACATATAGTCAAATCTAGATAAAGAGCCGTAAAATGTGGTATACAATTTACCATCTTCATAGGCTTCGATTTTGTATATAGAAAAAGACTGGGTATCTTTTAGTACAGTAATCAAAAATGTTTTGACATATGTGCATACATATGTACATATTTATCAAGCTAGAACCTAGAGCTACTAAATTATACAATTATCATAGGCATCGATTTTCTAGATGGAAAAAGCCTTAATCACAGGGTATCTTCTAGTGCAGCTATATTATTGTTTTGACATATATGTACATATTTATCACAATGGTAGAATGACTCGTTATTCAAGTGCCCGAGATACAATCAACGTTTTGTGCGCTTTGTTTGCTTTACTTAAATCTGAGTTTCGCGTTGACTTTTATGGAAAAAGTTTTTTGTTATTTGTTTTTTGTGTTTGTTTTTATTGCTATTATTATAAATTTATGCAGCACACTAAGCGCAGCAATGTGAACCAGAATGAGAAACGACGTCGTTAGTTTTGCATAATAAATGGATAACAAACTCTAAAATCACACACGCATATATGTATATATGTGTATGAGTGTATATATGTGTATTTAATCCCTACGGATTCACACTTGGATTTGGACACTTGCCCAGCCCTTTTATTTTATGGGATCTGACCTGGCTAAAAGTTCTCAATTTCCAGCCATTTTTATGTTGTTTTTTTTTTTTATAGCTAAGACGCAAAATTTTTGTAGCGAGTTTTTTTTTTATAGTATGCTTTATATTTTATTTCATATCGACAAGTTTACGTCATCGTTGCGGCTTTTGATTATCAGTCGTGCTTCTTTTTTTTTGTTATGCATTAATTTTTGCTTTTTTGAAGTGTTGAAATTTCGGTGACGCATTTAATCAGCAGCCACATCTCTGAATTGCTGTGCAAAATTCCATGTGACCAGAGCTTTAGAACAAGAGACCCTTAGGCTAACCGCAGAGCACCATTTGCTGCATAGAACTGGAACTGGGTTAATGTAATGCACATTGAGTGAACGAGCCAGCGGGGTAATCAGAGCGGAGAGCAGCTGAGTGCTGCGGTTGCCAGACTGCAACATGTGTGCGGCGTTGTGTGCGTGTGAGTCTCTCTCTCTCCATATCTGTGTGTGTGTGTGTATGTGTACAAGCCTTGGTTTGGCCTGCATATCTTGTTTCAAGTACGAACTTTGACGCCAAATACAATTATTGTTCTCTTAGTTGTTGTTGCTGCTGCACTTTGCTTGCTCCACACTTACTAACCACATAAGGTGTTTGCCTTTCTCAATCATAATGTATTCATTATGCTCTTTCCACAAAGAGTATTACTACATTATTATCTCAATTTGCTCTCAAATGATCATATAGCCGAACACGACATTTGTATGTTAATTGCAATTGCTGTTAATGACCGCGCTCTTATACTGTTAATAATGGCGAAAATGAGCTTATCATTGTATTGCGTTTAATTCCATGTAAAACATTTTTTTTTGTGATATCGTTGATTGTTATTTTAGATTATAATTTATTTCTTTTTTTTCTTGATTTATTTGATTTATGTTTATTGTGCCTGCTGCTGCTACTGACGAATGGATATCATTTGTATATATCACATAATATATATACACATATATATATACGTGTGTATATTATGTGGCAACAACTGCTGCCTGCTGCGTGTGACTGCCTGCTGATAAATCACGTGACAAATTCACCAAACGAACGCATTGTTTATATGATTTTTATACCCAACAAAAACAACACATATCAAATGCACGCACGCACACACCCACAAACACACACGTGCACAAATTGCATGTACTCACCTACACGCACACACACAATACACAAACACTTACATGCACAGATAGCGCACTGAGAGTTTTATCTGCATATGAAAAACCTCACAGAGCAGGCTAAGTATTGTGGAAGTGTGAGAGAGTGACAGGCCCACACATAACATATATACGAAATATAAAGAGCGCAACTAGAGCACACGAAAGAAACTAAGCAAAAGTAAAGAAAAAAACACAAAAAGCACACATACAATGCCGCAATCAGAGGGCGGCTATGTGTCGCTGCCGGCGATGAATGGCAATGGCAATGGCAGCGCCATCTATCAGTCCACCACAGAACCACAGTCAGCGTCGCCCACCTCCGTCTTTGAGAGCGTGAAACGTGCAATTGGTCAGGCGATCAAATCCTCGCCAAGCGATAGCGAGGAGCTGGTGCGCATGGAGCGAACGGTGGTCATTGTTGGTGGTGGTGCCAGGTAAGTGGAAAGAAGAGCACAAACTTATACTTTTTCTTCTACTACTACTACTCATTGTTGTTGTTGATGTGCTCTCTTTGTTAACATATTCTTTACTTTACTTTACCGTTATTTCAAGCACACAGCTTTAATTGCGATGCATGTGCGTGAGAGCCTTTTGTGTTTTCGTTAGATCATTTGCATACTTTTGATTTTGTCCAAAGTGTAATAAGTGCACAAATGTACATATGTATGTACTCTTATAAATATGTGTATTATTATCTTATATTGTGTATACGTATGTATATATTGCTCACTTTTCGCTCAATCAGTTACATCATCAATTTAACATCAACACGGGCGCAACTTTCTTTATATTTATTGCTGAGTTAGCCCTGGCTCAAGGTCAGAGCCCGCCTGCAGTTTTGTCAATACAACATGCCAAAGCTCTAAAGCGCAGTCAAATCCCAAAAGTCGCTGCCTAGTCAGACAATTCGACGGCAGCGATGAATCGCAATTTAGTCAACCGCTAACTGTGCTTGATTTTCGTTCTATTTCTGTCCGCAAGAGATACATATTAAAGTACTCGTTCTTTACAATTTTATTTATGTTTATTACGGCCATCATCATCAAGTGTTTTAATTAATGTTTCCGTAACGGTGACACAGCGCACACACACGGCCACACGCACGCCCACACAGATTGCACTCAATTAACGCATACAATTGTATGTGTGTGTGTGTGTGTGAACGACTAAAGCTCAAGAGTTAAAGCTCTGTTTACACTTCAGTCATTGCACTTTTCGCTGTGCAGCATTTCTCAAGTTCTGTGTGGGTCTCACCGGTCCTAACCGGTTCGTTGCTGTTGCTGACCGTTTCAAGTCTGGCGCCGTGCGCTTAAAGCGGAGCACCAATAGCAAATAATACGCGAGTGTACATAAGCAACTGAAGAAAGCAACAACAAGTTTCAAACTTCTGAATAACGGTATGTGTCTATATACTGTATATATGTATATATTTTGCCCAGCACACCCAGCCCTTACCTCTCCTGCAGAGCTTTGCGAGGTGCGTGTTAACTTAGAAAGCGAAGGGAATTTTAATAGCTTTAAACTATGCTCGCTGATTTGGGGCAGGCTATTTATAGAAGCCTTTGGGAAGTACATGTGTATGGAGGTACACCCCGTACTTGTATAGTTCGTGGAATATTTAATCGCTCAATTAATCTGATTGTGAGCTATTATTGTTATTATAGAGGGGCTTTGTTCGCCACGACTCTCATTAAGCCCAATCGTGTTTGGGGCTGGCTTTCTGAAAAGTCCTTAATACCTACGCAGAAATATAGTTGCTTAACTGAACTTGCCTACGGGAGATATATGATAAAGGTGTCCGATGTTAAGATTTTGCGTATATTTTAGAAGTTTGTATTTAATTTTTGTATTGAACCATTGTTGTTTGTCCATAACTTAAAAATGCAATACCTACCTCTATAAAATAGCCCTAATTTCCACGAAAATGGCTTTTATTTGCTCTTTTGGGAATTTCCTAGAATTTTTACGTATGCCTAGTTTTTAATGCCATTGTATACCCTCTAAAGTGTTCCACAAATTTGGACAGTAGATACCGTAGTTTTCCTGAAAATGTTGAGTTTAATGGCACCGCAGCCCATGCCTTAAGAACACAGCCTGCAGCCTAAGTGTTTCTGTGTATTTGGGGAGTAAGGCATTTAGGGTCGTTCTATGCGATTCTCAAAAATTCAAGTGGGACCAGCCAATTGTGATTAATTTTAGCTAAGTGTTTATACGTGTGTGTGTGTTAATAAGGTGTCGTGATAAAAAAGTGGCTTTCTTCTTTCTCTTACTCTTCCGTCTCATTATTTGCTCTCTCTCTCTCTCTTAATCTTTTCTCCCTATCACTCTTTCTCTTCTCTCTCTTTCTCTATTACTCCTCTCTCTTTCTCTATTACTCCTCTCTCTTTCTCTATTACTCCTCTCTCTCTCTCTTACTCTTCTCTCTCTCTCTCTTATTCTTTTCTCTCTCTCTCTCTCTTATTCTTTTCTCTCTCTCTCTCTCTTACTCTTCTCTCTCTCTCTCTCTCTCTCTTACCCTTCTCTCTCTCTCTCTCTCTTACTCTTCTCTCTCTCTCTTACTCTACTCTCTCTCTCTCTTTCCCTCTCTTACTCTACTTTCGCTCCTTATTACTCTTATCTCGCTCTCTATCTTACTCTTCCCTTTCATTATTTGCTCTCTCTCTCTCTCTCTGCTCTCTTTCTCTCTCTGCTCTCTTTCTCTCCCTGCTCTCTTTCTCTCTCTGCTCTCTCTCTTTCTGCTCTCTCTCTTTCTGCTCTCTCTTGTTGTCTGTCTCTTGCAGTTACTCTTCTTTTTCGCTTTTTCTATCCGATGCTGATAAGATTTAGTTGCATCCCATGTTTTATGGAAGTTTAGATAAGCTTTATGCCAGCTTTAATGAAACCTTTTAAGCAAATAAATCAGCACGTGGCTAATTTAAAGATGCTTAACAGTTGGGATGTGTGCACAGAGCTGGGATAATGTGGTCCCAGAGGATTAGAGACACACATAAGTGCAACATCTAATTGAGTTTTCAGCATAGAATTGTGTACGTATACACCATGTGCCGCATAAGTATTTAGGCTGGCCAAAAAGCTGTGGGCCAAATAGCTAGACACACGGTCTGGTGGTTAGGCATTAAGCTCTGCGAATTAGTTAGTGCTGTGAGGTGAGGTAGGCTTGGGCTTAGGGGCAGTTGGGAGCTCATATTTGTGGCGCCAGTTGTTTGCTGTTTTTCGCTGTCGTCGACATTTTACCCCGAATGACATTGCGTGACTCATTTATTTAGTTTTACGTAACGTGAAAACTGTTTACTGTGTTTGTTGTTGTTGTTGTTTTTCTTGTTGTACTTGCTGTACATCGCGAGCACTCGTGTAGCTATATTTTCATACTCATGCTCAATCTCATCAAAAGGCATTTTCATAACAACAAATCGTTGCCTTATCATTCGCAACTCTTTCTCTCTCTCTCTCTCTCTCTCTGGGCAAACTACAACTCAATTCTCTCAATATTTTACATGAACAAACTCGTACATATATACATATATATTCCAAACATACATACTTAGTGTGTATTTAGCTGATTCTAATCATATCATACATATAAGAAATTTGTTTTTTGTTTTTCTTTGAAAAATCGAGAAAAATGAAAAATAAGTTTGTTTTTCCCATTTTGAGCAAGCGAATCGCCTCTATCTCTCTCTTTCGATTTTCGTGTTTTCGGTTTTTGTTTTTTTGCTTGCATGCTCATAGTATTTATTTCAGAGACCGCGACAAAACTGGTAAGACACTGAACACCAAGATGCCATCAGCACCAACACACACTGCCGAGGAGGCACATCTGCTGGGGTAAGCACAACACAACAAACAGCCAAATCGTTAACGAACCCGAATTTCCCATATCATGTGTAAGATATTTATATACATATATAATAATTATATATGCCGCGTTTATGCCCCGCCCCCTCACGCTACACACACAAAAACAACTCAAGTAACACAAGTTTTGTTATTTTATATAGTTATTTTTATTTAAAAAAAAAACAACCCATTCATACATAACTCACTTTAGACTGTGTTTTGCCTTCATTTCGTTTTACTTTAAAGTAATTGTAAGTATTTTGCATAGCGATAGCTTTTGAGTTTGACAAAAACCTAACAACAACAAATAGTTATAATAAAAATAATAATAACAAACCAAACGCATCCGCCCGTCTCTCTCTCTCTCTCTCAAACCGCAACTCGTACATAATTTGAATGTTGAACAAATATTGCATACAATTCTTTATACCATATATAAGTATTTACCTGAGTTCCTTTTGCAACTTGTAATTTAGTTACTTAGCCTTTAGACGCGTTACGTGTGATTCAAATTCAACTCATTTTTGTAGCCTTAGAGCCCAAAAAAAGTAGAACCTGAAGCTGCTCAGCACCTAACCAAGCGGCCCGCCGGATGCAAGTTAACGAGTGACCCATTTAAATAAATATAACAAAAAGTCATATGCATAGTTAATATGTTAAGCAACTGAACCAACTATTCTAATCTGCATTTATTTGTATATATTTGTCCATATATAGCACTATGCCCGTCGATCCCATGGATGACATCGAACTGCGCTCGGTGCAGCTACAATTTCCCAATGCACGCGGCTCCATTTTGGAGGCCTGCGAACAGCGACGTGTGCCCACAGACAAGGGCGACATACATGTCGCCATACAGGGCGACACCTCAAAGCCGGCCATAGTGACCTACCACGACCTGGGACTCAACTGTGAGTTGTCATAACCAACACAATTGAGGCCAACATTTGAGCCAACGCATATTTCATTTTCAAATTAAAACAGATGCCACCAGTTTCGCTGGCTTCTTCAATTATCCAGTCATGCGCGGCTTGCTGGAGAACTTTTGTGTGTATCATGTTACTGCACCCGGACAGGAGGAAGGCGCGCCTACATTGCCAGAGGAGTAAGTTGTACAAATAATTGCCCAAGGCGGCGCTTACACTCTAGAGAGCGATTACAAATTTACGCAAAATGACTAAAAAGAAAACCTTCAAAGTAAATTAAATTTAAAGTGAAGAGCAATTCATTTTCATTTTTATTTTGATTGAGGCAACTTTTAAAAATTACGTAAAAGCTTTAGAAAATGCAAGCAATAAGAGGTACACAGCACAGAAAGTTAGGTATATTCAATTGTGATTGTAGAAAGGTGCCGAAAGTGAACAAATACAGTATAGTTCATTTAAAAATAGTATCTTAAAAGCTTTGAAAGCACATGAAATATAAAGAGAGTTTTTTTATGTAGGGGCTGAGTTTTTTCGTAAATAAAGGCTCAGCGAAGAAGATTACCTAAAGAGCTTTGAACGCCCATGAAAGATTAAATGATTTAGTTCATAAAAGGCACTAAAAGCTTTAAAAAGTTCATTAAAGCTCAGTATAGAATAGTACCTAATCAGCTTTACAGGCACGGAAAAGACGAAGAACAGATTTATTTTGAAAACTGCACTTAAATCTTTATAAAGAAATACATATAATCACAGTGTAGAAGAATACCAAAAACAGCTTTCAAAGATTACGTGATTTATATTATGAAAGGCGGTGAAAGCGTTAAAAATACATTAAAGCTCAGTGTAGAATAATACTTAAAAAGCTTTAAAAGCACATTAAGATTTAGGCGCTTAAAAATACAATAAAGCTCGGTGAAAGAAAATATTTTGTGCTATTGATTCAGCTTAAAGAAATAAGTGCCAAAAGCTGTGAAAGCTCATTAAAGCTGTAGGGTATTGTAAGTCTGCTCAACAAAGTACAGTTAAAGCTAAAAACTTGTTTATTCAGCTACAAGTTCCTATTGTTTAGCTTGCACTTTAAGCTGCTGTCATTGAATCATAATCTTATCTAAATCGATATCTTCGCCTTTGCAGCTATGTGTATCCAACCATGGATGAGCTAGCAGCACAGCTGCTGTTTGTGCTATCGCATTTCGGCCTGAAGTCGGTGATTGGCTTTGGCGTTGGTGCTGGCGCCAATATACTGGCACGTTTCGCTCATGGTAATCCGGATAAGGTGGGCGCGCTGTGCCTAATCAACTGTGTATCGACGCAATCGGGCTGGATCGAATGGGGCTATCAGAGCTTCAATGCGCGCTTCTTGCGCACCAAGGGCATGACACAGGGCGTCATCGATTATCTGATGTGGCATCATTTCGGCCGCAATCCGGAGGAGCGCAATCACGATCTGGTGCAGATGTACAAGCAGCACTTCGAGCGCGGCGTCAATCCCACTAACCTGGCCATGCTCATCAATGCGTATATACATCGCAACGATTTACATTTGGCGCGCACACCTCCGGGCACACCTGGTGCGGAGACGGCAGCGACCACGCTTAAGATGCCGGTTATCAATATAACGGGCTCACTTTCGCCGCACGTGGACGATACGGTGACATTCAACGGCCGCTTGGATCCAACAAACTCATCCTGGATGAAGGTTCAACAGTGCAAAAGTGTTCTTTGTAATCAATGTAAAAACTAAATCATATTTTTGCTGCAGATCTCGGATTGCGCCATGGTGCTGGAGGAGCAACCGGCTAAGCTGGCTGAGGCCTTTCGGCTGTTCTTGCAGGGCGAGGGCTATGGTAAGTGTTAGAGAATATAGCACACAAAAACTGAACAACTGAACCACCACCCCCCCCCTCTCAACCTATCTGCTACAACAACAAAAATCTACAAAAATCTACTACTAAAAACAATCTACTTACCACCTATTACAATCTACCTGCTACTACTCTAGTCCAAGTTTCAATACCAACCTTCGATTGGCACAAAAACGTATGAGCCAAATCAGTTATATCTATAAGATAGCAACCACCAAAAACTCTATTCAGTTCAGTTCAATTCCATGCAGTATTCAAGACTCTCTCGGTCAGACAATCTCAAAGTTGTCCTTCAACAAAAAAAATGAAAAAAAAAAACCCCCACTCATCATAATCAAAATGCAGCTGCAGAACCTCCACGTGTTAACCACAAAACAAACACTAGAGCATCTTTCTTATAGAGTTACACAAAGTCGCCTTCTCTCCCCAAATACTTTAACTAACTTAGCCTAAAGCCTCATGTTTGCGTATTGAAGATCTCATTAGTTACAACAAAAGCTTTTCAACTACTACAAAAAAATGCAAAAAATTGAAGGTATCAAAAAAAAACATTATAAAAATTGTTCAAAATTTTATATAAGTATTATGAATTGGCAAAAAAAAAAAGTTATTAACAAATCGAAGATAATTCGTATTATGTTTGTTAGCCAAAATATTTGTACGCTATTAAAAAAAAAACTATTTAAATAAAAATTGGAAACTTAAAAAAAAAAAGTTGTTGAAAATCGAGCGTTTACTTTTTACATATTTCCCAAAAAATTTTTGTAAAAGACTTAGCCAGGGCGTTTCTTCACATAGACCAGGCCCCAAGACCAAAAGACACAAAAACAGCTAAATTCAAATTCCTAGAATACGTAACAAATGCATTTTCGAAACAACAACAACAAAAAATTAAAAAAAAAACCAAAAACGAAGAAAAGATATTTCAATATGTTCATTACTTTGTTTTTCATTTCTTTTTCCTTTCTCCAAACTGCTTGTTTTTTGCTAAACAACATACAAAACAACAAAAACAACAATGAAATTTATACCTCTCTCAAAAAAAAAAATAAATACATGACACGCAATATCAAAATACACACATACGAAATATCTTGTAAAACGCCTGGCCGAACATCCTCTCGCCTGCCTCTCCTCCTGTCATGCATCCATCTGAATACCATAATGCACATGACCTTGGGCGCCGATATTAACCTCAAACAAAAATAAAACCTTTTTATCAAATCGAAATTCATTGAATGTTGAAACGATGTCGAATTTGTGCTGCATCATAAAATTCGATTTTTTATCTTTTCGTTTCTCAAATTATTTTTCTCTTATCGAAATTGTCTTATCAATAATCAAATGCAACAATAATAAACTATATTAATATATGGTATGTATATTTGTACACTCGAACATAAACAAACACAAACAAAAAAAACAACAAACTAACTAACAAAAAACTCCCATGGCAAATAGTCTCCGAGAAACCTCAGTAGAAAATGGCTACACCAAAAAAACGAAAACAAAAACAAAACAAAAAACATAGTTGAAATGCATTTAGCTAATTAATGAATAAATAAATTAAAATTATATATAACAAAAAGTAGGCAATGCTTAACACTCACACATATATAAAATTGTTTGTCATTTGCTTGCCCAAGTATTGGTGAGCTTTGAAAAGCTTGCATACAATCCGGCATGGAAGCGTTGGCTCTGACACGTGCGTGTTGCCAATGCGTGCGCGTATGTGTGTGTGAAAGCTTTCAGCTGCAAGTGACAAACAATGCGACACGTAGTTCGGTTATGAGTTTTATAGAATACCCTACCCAAAACAGTACAGCAGCTGCTCTATTTTTTTCTCACTCCTTTTCTATTTAGACCCGACTTTCTTTTGCAAGTAATATTTCATTTATTTCCCGCACATACACACAAAGCACCTTTATTTGCCTTATACATGGTATCTACGTACATATAATTTATTTGATGTTTTATTTGTTTTGTTTATTTACACGCAATATTTGAAATGAATTAAACCGTTAACATTTACAATGCGTAGCTGTTGGCACACTGCAAAAGCTGGCACGCAAAATCTCAGCGGCCAGTCGGAGCAGCTCCACGCAAATTGAGCTTTGCGTGCAATGAGAGCAGTGCGCCGCCTAAATTGGAGTTGGAATGGGCGTGGCCGTGGCCGTGGGCGTGAGCGCGGGCAAACACGAGTGAGAGAAATTGGAAGACACACAGAAACAAAGATGAAAGCACAGCACGCTGAGACCAACACATACATATACATACATCTATGCAAACAAGGAATCAAACATACACACACACACATACACACACAGCTGGAAACAGCAACAAGTTGAAGCTTTAGCTTTTTTGGCGCTTTTATGTATGTATTTTTTTTATTAACTGTTATTCTCCGTTTTCGTTTCACTTCTAATTGTTGCTTCTTATAATGTGTATTATGTTATCCATTTTTTTTTATTACATTTAGTTATTACGTGCGTATGTATTTAGTTGAGATATACATAAGTGTAAATTGTTGTATACATTTAACAACAAATACTGTTGTTGAAATAAAAACATTACACATATTATTTTGTGTGTATTCCTTATTTGTTTCCACATGCCTCAAGAGTTGAGCTGTACTTGGGTGCTCGTTGCTTAGACTCACACATATACAGAAACACACACACACACACACACACACATATGCAATGCGTAAATATATTAAAGCAATAAGTTTATATTTATACCTATACATATACAAATATACATACATACAAGACAATGCTATATACAAAACTAAACAACAACAAAACAAAATGAACAAAAATACCAATATATAAAGATATATATACTATATACAATATATATATTATCTTAAATGGAGCTATGCAAAAATTTCACAAATTGTAAGCTTTTGTTGTGTATTTGAATTCTAAATAAAAGAACAAAGTCAACGATTTCCAATTCCAAAATCATTTAAGGCTGAGCAAATACACAATTCGCTCGCTCTTTCTCCTCTCTCTCTGTTATTGTTTCTGGTTTTTCGAGTCTCTGTCTCTTCACAGCAGCTGACAGCAGGTGGCGCCCTACTCTCACCAATCAGTTAAGCGCATGCAGCGCGCTCTCTGTCTCGCTCTCATCATCAACATCTCTCATAAACGCCTCGCCAACATCATCATCAAAAAGCTCATCAGCAGCTAGTACAACAAGAACAACTACAACAACAGCAACAAATCGCAGCAACATCCAGTGATAAACAATGGCCAAGCAACATCATCAATGCACCCACACAATTACACACACACACGCACACATATTACACGCTACAAACGAAAACATGAAAACAGCAGCAAATCCTTAGAACGTGTATAAAGAACACCCATAAAACAAAAAAAACAACAATAACTACAACTACAACTAACATGCCCAAAAGTAACGTAACGTAAATAACAAAAGCCAAACTACTACTACCTTCCCCCCTCCACAAAAAATATATATACTACAACAACTACAACTACAACACTGCAACTACAACAGCAACGCCGCTGTCAACGCCAGCTAGTTCTCCCTGCGGCACCAAATATCACACCTATTCATCGATATTCTTTGCCAACTTCCGTGAGCAACAATTGCAGGCCGCCCAGGAAAGAGAGCGAGAGCGCCAGCTGCAGCTAAACTTGCGCGTCGGCAATCGACTGCGAGAGACGGCCATCAACTGCAGCGGCAGCAGCAGCAGCAGCAGCAACAACAATCCAAATGACCCGAATAGCGAAGAGGATCTGGATGTGGAGAATGGCAATGGGAATGGCAATCGAGCATATGTGACCACTGATACATCCGGTACGCTCTACTTTGGCACACAAAGCAACAAGATACGCATCACTGAGAATCCACTGCCCGAGCCGATTAGCTCTTAGATTGTTAAAAACTACTCTTATACTCAAACACACACACACCTACACACAAACAAAGAGAGCAAGAGACGAGACACAAATATATACACACACACACACACACACACACACACACACAAACACTGTTATTGTTGTTATAAACTACGTATAAATATACCAAAACAAACACACACCTAAACGCAGTATCAACAAAAACAGCAGCAGCAAACCGCGCAGCAACCGCGCAGCAGCCTCAGACGCCAACTCAAGCAAAGCTTTAGCCGCCAGCAACTGTGACAGTGTGACCAGAGCAGCCAAGCGCCGCCTGAATGTAGACTTTAGCCGAGCCGCGCTCCAAGAGTTAAAATTGAAAACCACAAAAATAAATATACAAAAAAACATAAATAAAAAGAAAATGAAAAAACAAACAATTGAGATAAAACGAAGACACCGCTACCTATACAAGATATGTATCTACCTATGTTTCTTAAACAATATACAAGTGAATTAAATGCCGTTCGAATTTGTCTAGTTTCTGTTTTAATTAAAATCACAATGAACAAAAAACAAAAAAACAATCGAGAAAAAAACAATATATTGCAGAGTAATATTGAAATATTTGTAATTTACACTTTGTGCCTGAGCGTAACATATGCAAATACACATAGATACTTACATTATTACCTATGTATATCAGCAGCGTATTTGTTGTCGGTTTTTAGTTAAACAATTGAATTAACAAAACAAAATATATACAAAAAAAAAATGATAAACAAGAATACATTACATACATATTACGCGAGATTTATTTCTATTCTAGACATTATGCAATAAAAATACGTGTATTTTTTGGATGCGACATATTTTATGAAGAGCTTGCTTAGTTGTTGTGAGAAAACAAAACAAAACACAAATAAATATAAATAAAAGATAATTACAAGCTTAATGTTAAAAGACACAGAAACAAATTAAATACAACATTAACTTAATCCCAAGAGCAAAGCAAAAAAAAAAATAAGAAAAAAATACAATGTAGCATATCAAAAACAAAGCTCTCAAAATTACATACACATTATAAATACTTAAATAGTTATTAAAAAGTAAATAATTGAAATTCATACTGAATTGCATTAAACAAAAACAAAAAACAAAGGCAACTTAGGTAAAAAAAAAAAAAAACTATAAAAATAAATACACAACAGATCCACACAGATAAATAATGAACTTTTTGCAAATAACTTCAAATTCAATTTAATAAAAGTTTTAGAAGCTTAAAACAAGTTTGCGAATGTGTTTTCCGTTTATCTACTGTCCTAACGAGATGTTAGTTAATTTAACTATTCAGTCATTTGGGTTGTATTAACTCTCTCAACATTTGGAATGTCGCCTCGCGCTCCTGCCGCATTATGTTGGACATTTCCTGCAGGAACTGCGTCTGCATTTCCCGCTGCTGGCGCAGGAAACGTTCGTGGGATTCGGTCAGCGTGGACAGCAGCTGCTTCTGGCCCTCGCTTATGGTGGTCAGCACCTCCAGCGGCGTTGGCTCCGCTGGCATCTCAAATGTATCCTCGTACTCCTCGCTTTTGGCTGCGGCACGCAACAGATCGCAACTGGAAACGGAGCTGCTGGCTTCGCTGTCGCTCTCCATTGCCGCAGGCTTTGCTTGATTTCCACTCGATGTTGCCACATTTCCAATCGCTTTGGTCTTGGTGGTGCGCTTCTTCTTCATCAGATCGTCGAACATCTCGAAGTGACGCGGCAGCATGCGCACATTTTTGATGCCATCCTTTTTCACCTCCCGATAGCGACGCAGCAACAGGCGCAACTTGTTGCGCAACTGATGCGGCGTTCTCTGAAACGATTGCTTGGCCAGGATGTTCGATATGTAGGCCAGGGTCTTGAAGTTGCGCTTCTTGGAGCCGTCCAGTGCACGAAATAGATTCTGCTGCTTTATGATGGCCAGAAATGCATCCACCTCATGATCCGTCCAGTAATAGGTATCGGGATGGCCTGCGAAACGAACTGATAATCAAATATATCTGAGCTTGTCAAATGATGTGAGCCTACGATTGGGTCTGGATGCCTCCGCGTCGACATCATCGCTGTAAATGTAATCGCTTTCGGAGCCGCTGCTGTAATTCGGTTCAGTGTCGGCGCTCGATTTCTTTGCAGGATTCAGCAGCTGGTGCATGGCCTCAAAGTGCTCGAAGGTGTCGCCGGTGCCGTTCTTGGCCTTGTTGTATTGCCGTCTGAGATGCTGGAACTTGATGCGCAGCTTTTCTGGCGCTTTGTCAAACGATCTTTTGGCCATCTCCTTGGAGAGCAGCTTGAAGATCTTGGCATTTCGTTTGCGCAACAGCGCCGACTGCAGTCCCACGCTGGTAATGATGTCCAGGAATACATCCACCTCGCCCTCCGCCCACTTGACGCGCGCATTTGAGGGAATCGCGGCACTCACCAAAGCACCTGCAAGGGATTAAAGCGTGAATACAAGCTTGGCAGATTGATTAACTGACTGGACCTTCCGATTCGCTCTCCGAGCCGATGGCAGCGTCGACATCCTCCTCGCCGCTGTCATTTGAATCGCTCTCCCCCTCCCCGGCGCTGCTCTCGCCATGCTGCAGCGAGCCATTGAGCAGGGCGTGCATATCCTCGAAATGCTCGAACGTCTCGCCGCCGTTCTTGGCCTTCGCATATTGTCGGCGCAGCTGGTGGTACTTGACGCGCAGCTGATCCGGCCGCTTGGCAAATCCACGCTTGGCCATTTCCCGGGCGAGCAGCTTGAACACTTTGGCATTGCGTTTGCGCAGTAGCGGCGCCTGCAGCTTGTGTGTGATGATGATGTTCAGAAAGGCCTCCACCTCGCCCTCCGCCCACTTGCAGCGCAGCGGCACCTTGGCCGCGGAGCCCGGATTTGTGCTGTCACCGTTGCCTGGTGAAACAAAAGCAAATGGGCTATTAGAAGGGATATGATAGTTATCTGCATTACGTACACTCCAGCTGCAAGGTATGTGCATATTTCTGCTCCACTTTAATGTCCTCGCCAGGGTCCAGCTCCAGATCCTGCTGCTCGGGTTCATCCTCCTCCGTTTCGGCCTGCCGCTTGCGCGGCGACAGCTCGTCGCTCAGCAGATCGTTCAGATAGTTATAGTACTGACAGGAACGATTGCGATAGCGTGCCGTAAAGTAATCATTTCGCAATTTCTTAAATCTGTCGCGCAATTCTAGAATGCTTCTGCTGAGTCCGTTAGGTGTTGTCTTGCTTTCGACCATTTGGTTGGCCACATGCTGCCAGTCCAATTTACCGGGCCCATTCACTTCTTTTAGCGACTTTATAATGCCAATTAGCGTAACTGTCTCGTCCACATTCCAGCCGTTGCTATCAAATGTTGTCATTTTAATAAACTTCTCTTTTTGTTTATATTTTTGTTTCTAGCGCTTTTTGGCAAAAGTCAAATCTCTTAGTTCGCTCAGCTGTTCAATGTTTGGAACCAGTGCGAACTAGTGTGAACGGCGTGCTTAACAGTGACAAGCACTTAACAGTTGCTGAAATGTTATGAGCAGTAAGCAGCATTTACATATGCGCTATGATAAAATGCTGCCAATTCAATATTTGAATGTTTTTTAATGCAGTTTATTAATTAATACTAAGTCAAATAAGAATCAGACAAGCGTGTTAGTCTTTCAAAGAGTAACGACTGTTTTGGTGCCTTAAATTCAAATGTGTAAATCAAATGCGCCATGTTAATTCGATACTCACGCACACGCTGTTATCGATCAGGCACTTGTGGCATTTCTGGAGTTGCGCGTGGACGGTCACACAGTCTTCAACTGAATCTTATTATTGACGGTCGTTTGGCGCTGACGCTACGTCGGTTTCGGTGTACGGAGTACGTTAACAGAAATTCATATCCGCACAATAATAAAACAGAGTTTTGTGTGTTAAACGAAGGCAAAAAGAAGTATACGAATACGAAATTCTGCGGCAGCCTTTTCGCGTGCGCAGTTAACAATCATTACAAAGTAGAGCCGGAGCGATTAAAGGCGGTTGTTTTTTTTTCTCC